GTCGCCTGCCACCCCTCACTGGGGCACAGCGGCTCTGAGGGGTTTCCAGGGTGTCACCATGTCAGAATAGTGACAGCAAAGCTAACAGCTCACTGCTGCTCCACTCACAGCACCTCCATTCCAGGGCTGGGTGTCCAAATTACACTGCAGAAGCCCATGTTTGTCAATGTTTTCATTAGTATAGCTAGTTTAAGTAAAAGTAAGTTTAAGTAAAAACAAATCTCTCTAACAGTACGTTCGACCAGGTACTACTCTTGCAGTTGAACAAAAGCCCCAGACTGAAGGCAGCAAGCTGAAACCCAGGGTGCAGAGAACACCAGGAGCCCTGTCAGCTGGCTCCACACTGTGGCAAACTATTGTAGTGTGGCCCTCCCTGCCTGCAGATTTTCCCTGCAGATCCTCACTGGCTGCTGCTGCGACCTCTGTGATGTGCTGGCCATGCTGAGCTGCAGGCCTGAGCCTCCCAGATTGTGGCAGTAGAGCGTGTTGTGGGACACCTGGACAGAACTGAGGCACATCCCAGGGATCCCTCACCTGGATCACCTTCAGGGTTACTCACCCTACCTGCTTGGATACCATGAGAATCAGCTACAACGTTTTGTCATGGGACACAACCAGTTTTCATGACCACAAATAAGGCAAGGATAGGACTGGCCTGGTATGAAGACAGGACTGAAATTCTTGCCTTGGTAGCTAAAGTCACACTGAAGCCAAGAATACTGAATTTGTCCCTCCCATCTGCTCAAAGTGCTGCTCCAAGGCACACAGACACCTGACAGTGGCTGGGGACAAGTCCAAGAGTGTAAATGTCAACACAACACTGAGGAGAGTCCCAGAAAGAAACAACTCTCTTGCACATCAGAGCAACTCCCTGTGCATTATGCAGAATGACAGGATGCGGACCCAACACCAACTGCAATCCTCATCAAACTCTAAAAGTACATGCAGAGTTTCATTAACTAGAAACCCATGCGTGATTTAACAGCAAACTGCTCCTAGGAGCAATGTTTTGAATTCAAAAATACTGAGATGCAAGGGAACAAATAGTCAGAACTGTGGAACTATGTCCTTTAAAACCAACCAGCTGTTTTACATCACCTGTCATGATTTCTTGACAATGTTTCTTGAGTAACAAATTACTTGACAAGAACATGAGCATTGCTACTTACACCAGGAACTGCTCATGTAAAGTCTGAGTCAAGTTTGCACTTAAATCAGTATAAGCCAAGCCACTGATCTGGCAAGTGTTTGATCAGCTGCTACTTCCTTCCTTCCTTGGAAAAAAATCCCTCAGACCACACCATACAGTATTTGTTTTAAAAGAAAACCACTGCATATTCACTGCCATTAAAGAATGTAAAAAAAGCATTCTTTTATTTGTAAATTCTACTTCTTAGACTCATCACATGTCATGGGCACTATGATGCACAGACCACTGAGTAGTGTCTCGTGTAGCACCTCACAATGTGTGTTTATATATCAGCTTCCAAGCCCCATTTACAAACCAGATTAGGGAGCCTAAACACTGTCGGTCTAGATCCTCTCTGGAGAGCAATGCAGTTCTACCAAAGTAAATGGAGCATTGCTGCACTCAGACAGCAAAATATTTGTTGATACACATCTTTGAGAATTAATAATGCTGTGTTCAACTCCCTACAGAGCTGGCTGAGAAATAGCTGAATTTTTCCCAAAGGCCATGAAAGGAAAGTTGGCAACAAAAGTGCACTGGATGCTAGGGTTTTTTTGAAACTTCCTACATATTTGCATATTAAAAATTCCTTAAAAATAGATGGGACGGTTACAGTTCATCAATGTTGCACTTCAAGAGAAATTCCCAAACAGCTTCAATCTTAAATAGAAGCTATTCAAAAAGCTGAAAAATCTTCTTTTGATGTCAAAGCAGTTTTGAATCAGCATCATTCTGAAATAAGAACTAGGCAGCAGCTAAAGTCTGGAGGGAAGCAGCTAATACCAGAAAAATCTTGACAGACTACATTTCAGGTACTCTTTAAGTGCAATTTTGGAAGGAGGTAATTTTTCTGCAGTACCTTGTGTGGGACTAGCCTGACTATGAGCAGCTTCTAGCCAAAATCCAGTCATTTTTTTTCACTGTCCAGAAATACCTGTAGTGGTTTGCAACAGGTTTGACCAGAATATCATTTAACTTTTCAGAATGTAAGGTCAAAATGAACCAAGGAACAGATCAAGATACAATACCTGGGATTGTGTTTGCATCTCCAAAGGTTAAATAGAACCATGGGTTTGGCACAGGAGTGTTTACTGCATTTGTGTATTGCTATAGAAGGAGATGATACCACATTTCTGTGTCTGAAGTGATTTACCCAGGGAAGGGAGGCCCTTGTTCCACCAACAGTAACACTGACAGAGGCAGGCTGTGCTTTCCCGGCCAGCCTGAGAACACAAAGGATGTCCACAGCAAAGAAATAAGACATTATCAGAGAACAGACAGCAAAATGAGTTGTCTCCCTATTTTTAACATCTCCTGTCTTTTTCTGCCAGTGTCTGTCTGACACTTGATGAAAATATGCACTCTCTGCAAAACTGGTATCAGATCACTCTTTTCCCTGCCCCAGTGAGCCATCAAGTGATCCTTTATTACCAAATTACCTGCATGTCATAAAACACAATGACTTCTTCTCTGGGATAAAAGGGTTCTCCAGGGCTTGAGTTGCAAGACAAGTTGGTCTAACATTTGCAGTTACTCAGTCTAAGAATGCAATTGCTAATTAGTATTTTTAGAGGTGGATACCTTAGAGGAAAATATATCTGCCAGTGAAATGCCTCTCCCACCTCCAACTCACATTATTTGTCAAACATAGGAAGTATCTGGATATGATTTCCACAGTAACAGACAGCAGTATGACACCAAGGGCCCCACAGGAGCAGAAGGATGCCTCCTTTACACAATAAAACACAACTACAAACACCACCAACATGGTGGTAAGACATCTCTTCAAATGCAAACACTAGAGCAAGGAAGAGCTTCTAAATACTAACACAGCTGGGTACAAAGCTGAACAAGAAGTCCTGCAAGTTCTAAGAAATTTCCACTGCTCGGTACCCTTGGCTAGAATATCTCTTTCTGGATATCAGCCAGATTTGGTGACTATTTGTCACTACTTGTGACTGTTCACCTCCTACATACAATTATCTGCACAAAAACTTGGCTTTCACTATAGTCATGTCTTCTGTTCAAGTCCACAGGCTTTGCTTTTAGTGAAACAGTCCTCAACATTTGCTGATGTTCCACCCTAATGGGAATGGGCTTTAGATCATTGAAATTTTGAAGCTGAGCCCAGTTTACTTAAAAATAATTAGGGGAAAACATTCAGTCACCAGCCTAAGCTGCAACAGCTTCACTCTTATTGAAAATTGCTCCATGGAGCAGGACAGCAGTGCAACTTCCCCAAAACAGTCAGCTCCAGAGGCAGGGCTGCTGGGTCACCCAGCCCTGCTTGTCACAGCAGGTTTGCAACAGCCCCCTGAGACAGTGTGGAAGAGTTTTCTGTGGCCTACAAAAAGAGTAAAGTCCCTGGCACTACCCACAGACAGCACCAGGGAGAGGGAAATGCCATCACTGAAGTGCAAGTGAGGAGTCCTGCAGGCAGGAAGCACCGAGCTGGCTGAACTGTTCCTCTCCCACCTTCTGGGTGGCACATCCAGAGACAGCAGCAGGTGGGAAAGGTGGATGTGTGGGGTTTCCATGGGGTTCCATCTACTTCTACACAAACAGAAGCTGCTGCAGTGTTACATCTTACACAATTCCCAGGTGGCAAAGGAGTGGTCTTTAAATCCTTTCTTCCACATTACCCCAGGAACACAGCCCTGTGACATCACTGTTTGAACCAGACTGTCCCATTTATCCCAGAGCACTGCAGACCTTTGTGCACTGGGGTCTTGTGTCCCTCAGTCATTCCTCTGGTCCCTTCTTTCTTTACACTTACTTTACACTTGCCTATGCAGATACATAGAAACAAACTGTTTTTATTTTCTTGCCTTCAAGAAAGCCTGATTTCAGAATGTCCCCTGCTTCCCATCACTCCAGTAACACATCACTGAAGGCAAGAGCACAGAGATTGCAGAAAAATATATATATATATTTACATCCATAACTGAATACAGTTTTATGTATTCAAATTCAGGAAAAATGCATCACATATACACACCAAGATACATCAAGAGAATACTAGGGGCAAGACACTGCCAACAGCAAGAAATACACAGAAAAGCACAGTCATTGCTACTGTAACATTCTTCTGGGGTGTGAGTGTATTCAATAGAGGAAACACCTCTCTATGCACTGGGGAAAGCCAGACACTTGGCTGATTTTTCTGTGCCAGTTGGCATGAATCAAAAGTGTGAAACTTTTACTTTTAAAAAAGTGCATGGAATAAAATTTGTTTTTAGCATTCAACTACCCAAACAATTCCATAGGCTCCTTATATAAGCTACATTATTAATTAAAAACGTCCTAGCCCTACAGTATAGATCCAGCTCTGGAGAACACAGGCACATGTTGAAGTCATCCCTATTTAAGGCAGCATTTAAGCATACGCTCAACTTTAAAGCTTAATGTTCTGTCCCACCGACACCCATGAGCAGATGCAGCACACACTTAAGCACCTGCACAACTGCTCATCTAAATGGGGATGTGTTCCCTACTCAGAGCTTTAGATATGCACATGTGTACTCAGTCTAGACTGGCAATTCCTGCAAGATGAAGCTCTTTTTCCTGCCTAAAAGCCACTCTGTATCAGACTGTCCTCTGCTGCTGTGCCAGGAACCAGCCGTTCCTCTGCACAGCTTGCCCAAAAAATGCCATTCTCAAAGGAGTGCAGCTGTCTGCGGTGGGAAAGCAACTCAGCACATCATGACGAGGGTGGGTCCTCCTCCTCCCCCTGAAATCAGGTATTTCATGCAAATTTTTTGTTATTGTTGTTCTTTTTTTTGTTGTTGTTCTTTTTTTTTTTTTGTTTTTTTTTTTTTTTTTTTTTTTTTTTTTTTTTTTTTTTTTTTTTTTTTTTGGTAAGAAATGGAATGTATTCCTTCAGTGAAATCTCTAAAATCAGCATGAGGGGAAGGGGCAGAATCCCAGAATTCATCTTAATGGCCCATGATATACCCCTGAAAATAGGGGAACAGATTTGAAAAGCTCTTTGCCTCAATGCTACAGGGACCCTGGCATAAAAAACCACACATGCACACACACTGGAGAGCAGCCTCAGAGCATCCCAAAGCAGGCTCCAAAGTGATCTTACATCAAAAACACTTTGTGCTGACAGTGGCAAACAAGTGGATGGTGATTTTTTATAAATAGCAAAAATTCTGCAATATCTTCCTTTTCTTCCCATTTACTTTGTGTCTTTTCCCAAAGTTTGTTTTTTGTTGTATTTTTTTGTTTTGTGTTTTTTCTTAATCTGATGTGTGATTTAAGTATTAAAACTAAATCAAATAGGAAATTGCACAGTCAGCACCAGTCAGGAACTGAACCTGGGTATGTCAATTGTTTCTGGTACCCAAATTCCTGGAAGAACGAAGAAAAAAATTCTTGCTCCTTAAGTTAGGGCCACATCCATATGTTTCCATTGTCTTTTTTTACTTTTACAACTAGAGGTAGAGTAATTTTGTCCAGTATCTAAAACAGCATGATCCAGTTATATTGTTATTACATTAATATACAGTATCCATCTCATCACAGGTATTGAAAGTGCATGGAAAAAGTCTAACCAAGCCAATTCAATGACAAATAACAGTGTACCAAACATCATATAAACACACCCGCGCACCCACACTCACACCTAGTGTGTATATATATTTATAGATTCATTTACAGTATCAAGAGTGCTGCTTAGATCCAGTGGCATGTGCAGAAATATCAGGCAGTTGCTGCTTTTCCTTCTCATATTCTCTTCAATTCTTTATTTCCAAGATAGATGGATTGTGGTCCAGGATTGCCAAAATTATCTTGTCCATATACTGTCGCAATCTGTAATTTATCTCTTCCTGTTCTTTGAGGGCTTCCATGAGCTAAAACACAACATTTCCAAGTTACTCCTGAAATATTCTCAGTAGTTTATGTAACAGCCTGAAATTGAGACAGGTGAGAGACCAGTGCCTGCTCAGGATCACCAATTCCTCCTGTTGCAGGTTTTCTAACTCAAGCTCCTCCCTGTATCTGTATTAGAAACAATTCTGTATGTTACAGATCTTTGCTATCAGAGAAGGTGGTGAACAGTCATCTCCAGGGATCTTCTTGCAGGTCATTTGAAACATTCCAATCCATCCTGCATACCATGGATCAACTGCTTTGTCTCATAGCAAGAGCTTCATGATACTCAATTTTTTTCATAACTACTGAAATCTAAAGGTGTTTGCATGAAAGGCTGCTGAACAGAACTAGTATTTATTTCAGTGTTTTGCACCAGGAAAAATATGTGCTTCCTCTGGATCAGGTGCATACTCTCTCAAGAAAACCCCAAAACAACCACTGCATACTCCAGAAGAACAACCCAATTGCTATTCAGTGTTCTATATTAATTATATGTGTTTCACCAGATTTCTGGGCTGTAAAAGGCCCCTCAACCTCTCCAAAGATGAAGATTTGTCTCTGAATGTTTAATGCCAAACTGACAAAGCTGCCAAGGTGTGTCAGAGCCCCAGATCCTCCTAAAGCTCATGCTATTTGCCTGTCCATTTTCATATGACTTCACAGAAGCCCCATCCTGAATCTGCAGATTCTAACAGTTGTTCTAACATTGATTCATTTGATCATACAGGAAAAATGGCACAATGGGAACAGTTTGTGCAAGTCTGTGAGGTTTTGCTGAGTCTGGGACACAGCCTTCAGGCACTTTCCTCCTTTATAGGAAGAGTGCTGGATACTCCTCTCATGAGCTACGAGATTGAGAGGGACAAAGTCAGATTTTTCTTAAAATAGCAGAAGCCAGTTTGCTTTTGCCTAATTAGAGATCAACAAGTAAACAGCCCTTCCTCACAGTGATCTGGTTCAGCAAGAAATTGATTTTCAAGTATATAATTCAAGGGCCTTCACTTCAAGGGCCTGCCCAGGAGCTAAGGCTGACAGGTCAGTCCAGTACAGACTGTGTAAAAAAGGACTTTTCTGTCTTACAACTTTACTTGATGAAAGAATGGGAAGTTCTGTCTGGAAGAGATAGAGCATCAAGGACAAATAATTCCTTTGATCTCCTTCACCACTAATCTGTCTTCTTCCCTGGAAGCTCTCATGTATCCATTGGCCAGATCTCACAATCTCTCCTGGAGCTCAGAGGAAGCTACACCAGCTGGACTCAGCCCACATACAAATGGGGCTCCCAAAATATCTTTCAAAGCATTACCAAGTTATTATTTGCACATAAGTTACTTTCTCCAAGAATTCAGCTCTGCTACAGGGAACATATAGCTCAAATAAATATCCAAGAGATATCCAAGAGAGCTTGTTACTGAAGTAATTTAGAACTAAATCTAAAATAAAAAGTAAAAATTAAAGTAACTACCAATGACCATTTTTGTATGAAATTAATGTCACACTCTCACATTACTCTGCAAGATACAAGATGTTAGAACTGTAAAACAGTTCACTGAGATTCTAATAATTCCAATTTTTTTGAGAGGAAAATGGGAGAGTTGTAATATAAGGATACCAGAACAGTGTTATATTTAAGGCAATCTTCTAACACCCTTGAACTCCCAGCAAAGCAGAATTTTCTGTTGTTCATTTGTCAACTTCAGATAGTTCAACCTTGACAGTTAATTACATGGAAAATCACATATACTTGGATGTAGTACCTGATTAGAAAAGCACATTACCTCATCTCTCGATGCAGAATCGATTTCAGCAGCCAATGACTGGGCTTTTGTTTGCGTTGCAAAGAGGTTTTTAGCTTCATAAAGACTGAGGCTTAGAATCTGTCCATTAAGATCATCATTTTGATCACGAAGTTTCTGATTCTCCTATTTAAGGATGAAAAGACATTGTTTTTTAAGTTCTTCCTACAAGGTTATATTAAAAAAAAAGTAAAATTAACATCACAGGTAGCTTGGATGACATACAGTGAGGCTACAGCTGACAGCAACTCTTACCTCCAGTGACAAGGCCTCCCTGCCTGAGCTTTCCTGGGGCATAATTTACATCACAGTGCAAACAAGTCCTCCAGAGATGCAATGAGGCTCTTATGCTTGTGTGAGAAACGGGGGACAAAATCTGAAGGCAGGGTGCTTGGGCTTGCATTTTTCAAGGCATTCCTGTACATTTGATGTGGATTGTGAGGCCCTTCCTGGCTCACCTGCTTCAGCCGTTTTATTTCATGCTCCATTTCCACCTCTCTGGTTTTGGCATTGAATTCACTCAGGCTGGAGGAAGAGCTTCTCCCACGTCCAGGACGTTCACATTCCAGCTTGTACAGCTGCAGGTGCTCCAGTTCCTTTCGCAGGTCTTCGATGAGCTGTGGGCAGCAAACAGGTCTTGTCAGTGCAGCCCTCCCTGCAAACGGCCCCCTCTGTACTCAGGCAAAAGCACTCCCTGAACCTGGCTGAGGCCACAGTCCTACAACACAACCTCTTCCTCTTCTTCCTTTGCAAGCACAGGTCCCCTAAACTGCCCCAGAGCTGGCAATGGCTGTGATTGCTAAGCTTCATGCCCGAGAAGCATAATTTCCCTTGCAAACAAGAGTACAGGAAATGTTAGGGCACACAGTTCTCAAAGAGCTGCGAACCCTTTGGGTCAGGGATTGGCACTTATTAAGTGTTCTTGCAGCATTCATTGCTCTGTGGGCACCCTTCCCACACAAACACAATTCAGCAATAGCTTCACTGGATGTGGTTTTCTCAGTGTTTATCCTGTCTGCCCATTCTTTCTCAGCAGGGCTTCCATGCAGGTGGTTTGTGACTGCCTGGCCTTACATCCCTCTTCACACTTACCTCCTGTGTGGCTTCCCTCTCCTTGTTGAATTCCAGCCTGTTCTGCCGCAGCTTGTCCATCATCCTCTTGTACAAGTCCATCTCATCCTTCAGTCGCAGACTTGTGTCTTCCAACCTATCAGACATGCGCTGCCTCTCCTGGAACAAACAGGAAACTTCAGAACAGGCTGGTGAGAGCAGGACACACCCACAGCCTCACAACATCAACCTACAGACACAGCTGCTCATAAACTGCCTTGTGTCTCAGGACATTCCTGCCTCTAAAGGTGACCAATGTTTCAATTCCATTAATAATCTTGTTTAGGGAAAGAAAATTCAGGAAGCTGGGCCAAGCACTGTAAGAGTTTGCTCTTACATAAACTGCTGTTAAATTGCTCAAGGACTCAGGAGTTTTGTTACCTCATCCAATCTCTCCGTTTGGGATTTCAGCCGTGTAACAGTGCTTTTCAGATCACCATTTTCTTCTTCCAGTTGCTGAACCCTGTGTTAGTAACAAAAATCTTACAGCAAATACCTCTTCAAAGATGCAGACATGAAAAATAGTGTGCCCTAAAAAGCTATCTCATTTGCACTTGATAGACCAAATAGGGAAAATCTTTCTAATCATAGCACTTTTTAACATGAGTTTTTGCTTGTTCGTTTTTAGGTTCATTTTTCCCAAAATGCTACACTGGCCCTCAGATTTTTGTGCTCCTAATAACAGGTAGCTGGAAAAAAAAAAGTAAAAGTTGGAGAAAACAAACAGAGGCACAAATGTTCACTAGAACTGGTCACAATTCCCTCCTTGAATCCATGCCAAATATCCAACTAAGCTGTTTACATGGGCCACGTAGATTAAAGCATTAATGTAAAGCATCCTCCAAGCTTTCGGGCATTAGGCATGTGACTGCAGAGCTACTCTACCAAGTTGCCAACCTGCCACCATCTGTGCACTGTCTGCTGGGGAACAGCCTATATTTACAAGCAAAGTAAAAGCAAGGAGATCTTTTTCCCTGTTCAGGGCGACACCAAGATGTTTGTTACCTTGTATTTAGCAGTTCAATTTCAGTGCCTTTCTCTTTTTCATACTTGGTGTAAGCTTCTCTGTGCCTCTTTATCTCTTCTTCTAGAGTCTGTTCTGCTGATGTTTCTTGGTCTTTCAGTAGCTCCTCTAACTCATGAACTCTAAGGAAATCAAATCTCATTTCAGTTACAGCTTCAGAAGCAAATTCATTGCCTCTCTCTTTCCTGCCTACTACTTTTCTTCATTCTAATTCACCATCTCTTCCAGCATTTAACCTCTCCCAGTATCTCTCATATTTACTATTAAACACAGAATTAATTAGTATCAGTTCATCTATTATTCTTTTGGTTTCAAGAAGATGAGACTAAGACCCAGTTGTCTGTTCTTCTACGTGCAAGGAAAAAACCCAACCACCAGGGGTAACCTCTCTTACTACAGAAGAGTTTTCTCTATACAAGTCAGTGATATCTCAGTCAAAAACACTTGTCTGGAGCCTCTTCTTGCTGAAAATTCAGCAAGCAGCCCTACTCCACCAGGACTTTTCAGATGAAGCCTTATTCCATCTGTCAGCATTAAGGAAGAAGACTTGGTCATACTCTACAGGTAGAAATATCCCTTCCCCACAGCTGCTCTCTAGCTTTGCTCTGACATGGTAAAGAGAGCTGGTTCTGTGTTTTTTTACCTGTGAACCAGCTGTGTGTTCTCTTGTTTCAGTTTGCTCTTCAGGTCACCATTTGTCAGGCTATCGTTCTCCAATTCTGTCACCTTCTTCTCTAGGTACGTTACCTGGAAGGACAAGTGGAGAAAACTGAGTTTGAATCTCTCTTCAAACCCCCCTTCACTGTTCCTAACTGGCATTTAGCTACTCTACCATTTAAAAATGGGGCATACTCTGCAAAGCCAGCAGTAAAATTACAGTCTGCAATTCTGAGTTCACCAGACCCTGCATGCTCTTTGAAGGTGCACACTGCAAATACACCATAAAGAAAACCTAAAACAATGCCTAGATCTGTGTTTGCTCAGTTCTTGCATTACTGCCAAGCAAAGTTGTAAAAGTAATGTAACATCAAGGACATTTTGAATAAGCTACTACAGATCATGGGTAATTTTGAGCAAGATCTTGATCCCCTGATGCAGGGCTCCAGCAGGATTTGGTTGGGTACATTACACACAGAGCAGAGATTCTCACCTTTTCAGTGATATCATTATCACAGGAGTCTATGCTGTCTCTGAACAAGTCTTCTGTGCTGCCATTACTGCTGCTGAAGTTACTGTTGTGGAAGAGTTGTCTGAAAGATCAGAAGGATAATTATTTTGCTTGATGAGGAGGAAGGACAAAGAGTCTGGCTTCAGACTTTGAACATCTGATGGTAAAATCTGTGCAATCATTTCAGTGACAATTACAACTGTTTAAGCCCAAGTCTTACAAGAGACTGGTAGCTAAATGAAGTCATACTGAGCACAGTCAATAACATTAGTTCTATGGAGTGAGTTCTTTGTTGCTTTTGATAGGATCAAACCAGCATTAGCATAGTTTAAAAATTACTTAAGTCTCATTCACACTATGCACTGAATTGTATTTGCCTTATTACAAATTTAAAATAAGGTCACCACTGTACATTGGTTGGTACAGTTAAGCTAGAAAATTTCATACAGTAAGAACTTTAATAAAAAACCCCAAAACCAAAAAGAAATCTCAAGCAGTTTCCACTGCACAATAGTGTCAGAATATGTAACACTGGAGATTATCTAAAATGTCCTTGAACCTCAAAGCCCTCCCCAGCCCAGGGCTGGTTCACTCAGTCAAAAGAAGATGACAACTCTGTTAGTCCTTTTTAAATGAGTGCTCTTGCTTTCGTTCACATTTTGGCAACAGCAGCAAGGCCCACATTATGAGGGTTAAAGAAGCAGTAGCTGGACTGATAGAATAGCAGTACAAAGGAATACATTTGGCAGACAAGCAAAAACTATATTTTATTTAGAATTTTAGTATTTTTAATTTTAGAGCTCTTTCCAGTTCAGGAGCCTGCTCCAAGAGTACCAGGGGCTTTTATATTCTGCAACACTCATACCAAACACAGACCCCTTCCCTTAAAAACTTGGTACATTTTTGTTTTTCTAAAACTGTAATATTATTATTATTTATTATTTTGTCTCCCACTCATCTCCCACCCCCCACTTATGGAATTGTTATAGCTGATTCCACAAATATTCATTGAAAACTTGAATGCTCTTACCTTCCAAAAGCTGTGCTTGATATTTTCCTGTTAGGGCTACAGAAGGAATGATACAGAAATTAAACACTTATTTGATTCAATTTTAATTGCACAATGAAATAAAATAGACTTTTTTAGCCAGGTCAAAATACGATTTTGTGAACAATATTCTTTTATAACTGAATGAAAAGCTGCAATTACTAAGAATGCAAAGATGAGTGAAGTCACAAATTATTGTGATCATTAATAAGTCAATTTGCAAATACTGTTATATTTAGCAGAGATTTGTCAGTGTAAATCAGAGCGAAACTAACATTAGAAACACCACAAAGGGACATCAAGTTAGTGATGGACATTTATTCTGGATTTCCAGGTTTTAGATGATTTTATGAACAGTTAGTTTATCCTTCCCCATAATGCTTCCCAGTTCAGCACAGGAACTGAGGTCCTTCCATTTTTACAGTTCCCCTGTACAGCCAGAGACTGGTGCTATCTAAATGAAGACCCCTTGCTGCAGACAACAGCACTGGAACCAGATCAAAATATCCTGCTGCATCTCTCAGTCAGAGGATATCACATCTCCATGTGCACAGACATGGCTTTGATCAGGCATATCCCTCCCTCAGAAAATTCCCAAAGTCCTGGTTGGTCACAGTCTGGATGCTGGCAGACTCCTTGCTAGGGCAGGAACATTGTTCACGACAAGTTCTGTGCTGCTGCACATCATGAGAAGCAGCAGTGAGCACAGCATGCCCAGTCCCAACGATTACGCCAACAGGCAGGACACACATCCAGTTTCTAGGGGGAGCTAAAATCCCACCAAATAATTCCCTTCAAAAACTCTAGGTGATTGTTAGAAGCACTTTCTAAGTGCTCAGCACAGCTTAGGAGTCATGAAGTGGCAAAGAAATGTAACCAAAAGGCTGAAATTGCAAAGAACTCCAAAAGTAACTTCTGCCACAAGATTCATCATTTTTCCAAGTTCTCTTGACATCACAAAAAAAAATCCCACAGGAGCCAAGTACCTCTGCTGACCAGTAGCTTTAGGAGAGGTGTATGTAAGGTTATGTGCATTAGCCAAGGATCTGGAGATCCCTCCTTCCCACCTGGAGAAAGCAGTAGCTAATTGTAGGTCTGCACTAAGCAGCACAGCAGATCCCACTTCCTGGGAAAAATTCCTTGAAATATCACTCTCACTCTGCAATCAAAGAGCTCATTGGTTAAAATATTTGAGTTTAGTAATAATGTCTGCACCTTAAACCAGAAAAATATTTAACAGCTGATGAAGAACAGCATTTTGGTTTGGGCTACATATCCAAGTCTCAATTTCTTACTGTTTTGTAAGAACAACACATGTGTAAGATGGAATGGGATACAGAATGGAGAGGGGCTCTCTCTCCCTCTCCTCCTGCTATTAGCCAGTCCCATGCCAAGGCAGCATTGCCAAAAGTACTGCAATAAGCTGCTTACCTGTTTGCTTTCAAATTTTTCAGCCTGGCTTCCAAATCGTTGAGAAGATTTATCTTTTTGCAGCATTGTGAGCAGTAAACATCCAGTAACTCGCTGTTATAAACATGTCTCATTTTTCGGGGGGTTTGGCCAGCGCTGTTTGCAGGAAAGGAGAGATGTTACTGGCTGTGGTAACCAACCCACACATCAGGTTTTCCTTGTGTCTGTGTGTCAGAATCACAGATGAGGGAATTTGAAGAACCATCTCTAGCCACAGCTCATCTACATCGGAGCTGACGATGGCCAGTGCTACTCTTAGGGCAAGTCCACCTGTCTGAGCTGAGGCCTTGCATAGGACGTGGATGTTTCTGGGTGGCAGTGGAAAGAATCAGTGTGGGTGACCAAACAACAGCAAAAGTTACATGGGGCCCATTGTGATGCACATAGCAAAGGCAGCTATGCCCCCCTCTCATCTTGCCCATCTTCCCACTAAAGCCTGGCATGCAACCTGAAGAGTCTTCTCTCCAAGAGAAAGGCAGGAAGATGGAAAACAGAGTGGTCTGATAAGAAGTCACACAACCCCCCTCCGATGGTAGGATGAAAGGATCCCTGGAATGCTGGAATGGGGAGGAAGGGAGAAGTGGACACAGGTCTATAGAGGAGGTAACAGTACCCCTTGGCATGATAAAGAGAAAATAAACTCAAATAAAAGAGAGCAATCATGGCGTGATGTGTACTGAGCCCCAGGAATGAGAATGGAAAGTACTGCATAAACCTGAGGAAAGAGGGGATGAAAGACACGAGCCATCATCATGAGGGGGCAGTGGAGAGGGCTCTGCATGCAAAGGAGAGGTGGCCAGGCTGGATTGCAGAAATGCTGGAAACAGAGGGGAGCACGTGGGGGTCGCATGCGGAACAGAAAGATGCAGTGAGCTTGTCCTGTGTTAGCAGTGAAGACAAGACCTCTGTGTGCTATTGATCCAAGCAAACAAATCCTATAGAACCTTCATGCTCAGCTCTTCCCAACCCTGCTCATCCACTCCCTTGCTTGGGGGAAAGACTGTAAAATCTGGATCTGCCTTGGCCACAGGACGTAAGAGCTGCAGAGACAGAGGATACATGCAGGAGGCAAGTGCACTGCTGTGGCATTTCTAGCTCCTAACAGACAGCAGCTACTTGCTTATGTTTCCCAAGACATTCCAAGTCAATAGGATGCTTGTTTCAAATAACCTCCTGAGAAAATTGCAGCATTTCCCCTCACAGATTAGTGCTAAGGATTTGTAGTATCAGAACACTAAATGGAAACGGCTCTCTTGTAACTCTTCCCTGTATCAGGGTGGGTACACAATGCTAAGCTGGTTTCCTTTGCTGCAGATTCCTTCCAATACCAGCCCTGAACTGTGGAATTATTGTCTACAATAGAAAGAAATCTCAACAAGCAAAATAGCCCAGTTATTTCAACAGAACCCAACAGAGGTTATCAGAAACAACATATTTGCTATAGCTCTTATTATTAAATACAGTCTGTCAATCAGAGGGCAGGAAATGAACTGATAACATTTTGATTTTAAGGTGAATCTATCTAACCAGTGTAAATTCTGCTATGGTCAGAGAAGAATAAAAATGAAAAATTGTTTGTTAATGAATAAGGAGCAACCTGGAAGATACAGATGAGCCAAGGTCAGAGTAGGCGTTGGTTCTGGTCTCATCATCAGGGCATGGGCTACTGGGAGTAAAATCCACATCATCTCCTTCCCCATAGTCTTCAAACTGTTCTTCATTACTGATCAGAGAGGCGGTGGAATAAGTGGAGAGGTCAGATGCTGCAGAAGGGTTGTGAGGACTTGACCTGAAACAAGAGGTCAAAACATCTCGAAGGCCGACTTTGATAGCACCTCACCTCATATGGAACCTTCCACCTTCACAGGCTGGGCCCTCTTTGAAGCTGTAACCCACCTTTGTGCTAAACCCCTGAAGTGCTAAATGTACCTGATGTGCAGCTGACAAAGTGGCCTTGAGAGACAAGAGCATGAGAATCTATGAGAAAGGTACCTGTGTGACAAGTTTGGATCAACACAAACCATCTTGCTTTAAAGAGCACACTTTGATGATCCTCAGCCACCACTTCCAATGTGAAGAAGACCACATGGGAATTTCTGCTCTGAATGCAGGAACCATGCAGACAGCTCCAAAACATATGGGATAGTGAGAGGAACACGTGTAAGACAGAGGCTGTCACTTTATTCCACAATCAGAGAGTTTCCCAGTAATCCAGAAACACCCTCTCCCACATCCCAGGAATTCCAGCCACTCTCCTCTGTGTGGTAAGAAAGAAACCTCAGCTCACTGCTTACCAGAGAGTCACTAAAGCTACTGATGTGACTAATGGAGGCTGGGTTCCTGCCCTTCCTTCCATCAGGACAAATTCTGTCTTTTGGAGGAGATAGGGACCACAAGAAAAGGCTGTCTAACTACCACAAAAATACCTAAAATGATGTTAAATGGGTAGGGAATGGCAGCACCCCATGACTTCAGAAAAAGAGGGCACATAGGTAAACAGATCAGCAGAGTCAGGCACCACAGGAAAGCAGCTGGCAGAACAGTTCTGAGCACATCAAATCTAATAAAACAGAGCAAGGTGGCTGCAGAGGGTGCACAGGGTTCACCTGCCCAGAGTCCAGACAGCCCTGTGCAGTGCACCTGCAGACTGCAGGTGTTTTACACAGGTTTGCTCAGCTCCCACCTTGGTGAGGCTTTCAAACAGACAAGACAGTAAACTCACAAAAAAGTTCTTACAAACAAACTTCTCCCTATGGAAAACACACCTGGAAGACCTGAAATAGATGCTTCAATTATGAGGTCCTGGCATTGCCCAACTGTCCCCTCTACAGCAGAATCCAAGGCCTCTGCAGTACAGACCAGGCACTAATGGAATCTGCTGGCACTTTATGCAGATTGGGTTACATTTTTCTCTTCCTTTGCTTCAGTGCACAGTGCTTGTATCTCCAGCTCCACCAGCTGAGCCATGGGACAGTAGCTCCCAGGTGACACTGTTCTCCAGCAGCTCAACAATATTTCCTCCTAAATTTCTTCTGAGTCTACCTTGAGCCTCTCAGCCTCTCTACAGGGACAGCCCTCTTTCTGTAATACTCCACTTGTGAGCTGTAAACAAGATATGCACCAGTGTTCCTTTGGTGGATGGTGCAAGCATCATTTGCATATCCCTTTCCTCCAAAAGCAATTAGTAGCAGAGGAAGCCTGCCAACATTTCAGATGTATGCTCTTTTGTTTTGCCTGTTTTGATGAGATCCATTTATAACCTGCAACTCATTTATCTAATTCACATTAACAGAAATTAGGGCAAGTCAAGCCAGGCACACTACTGAAGGATGAAGGTAGAAGTACTCATATTAGAAACAGATCAAACTTATCTAACAAGGCTTCTTGGCTGAGGGATTAGTGAGAAGCTCAACATATCACACAAACATTGATTCATAAAGTGCTGCTGTGCCACGGACATACTGTGTATTGATAAGTTTTTGGGAGACCTTACAATTCTACTGCTGTTTGCATCTCAATTGCAGCTACACCAAATCAGTTTGGGAAGCAGCTCCTTTAACCACCAAGATTAGAGGCCTAGGAATTGCAGAATCATCTGCAAAAGAGTTGCTAAAAGTGACCTACTTTCCTCATTCTAAAGTTCTGAAGGGAACTTTCAAGTGTTTCGTGTTTTTTGTTTGTTTGGGTTTTCTTCTAGTTATTTTTGTGTTTTTGTTTGTTTGTGTTTTTGCAGGTAATCTCCTTCAGAGCAGGATTTCAGAGGGCTGACACACCTGATACACAACCCACCTGTTTCTTCAGCGAGCAGCAAAGTAAACCTCTCTATTGCCCAAAGTAAATAGCTCTATTGCCTCCTTTAACAGAAAGGCATGAAGCTTCTCATGCTTTCCTCCCACAGATTTACTAAAGCTGAGGAGGTCTCAGGACAAATCAAGGTCTATCAGTAGTAGCACAGTAGCTCTTGGTAGCTCCTGCCTGCCCTAGAAGGAGAGTACAGGAGGCACAATGCCTTGCCCACCCCCTTCACAAGAGCCTGACTGGCACAGCTGGGAGGAAAAACATTTCAAACACAGCATGGGAAAAAGTCAGTCACCAAAAGGATGGGGCTTTGGAGAACTGGGAATGCCAAGGAGACAAGTTTGATAAAGAGCTGATGGAAACTGTAATTATCTTGATAAAGTCTCTGAGGTTGCTTGGGCAAATGGGAGAAGACCAGAACTCAGCTAGCTGAGAAATTCAGGAGGAAGGCAGGAATGAGACAGCATAAAGAGCATCTGAGGAGGCCCAGGAGAGAGAAGAAAGGCTGCCTTAGCAATGAACAAAGCTCAAGAGGCACAAATCAAGATGACAGGCCAAAAATAGGGAAAACAAGGCAGAGGCTTACAAAGCAAGCCCAGCTGAGCTCTGCGCTGTGGTAACTGCATTAATTCTGTTCAAAGCAGGATTAAACCAAATTGGGTCCTTTTCCCCCACAGTCATCTTTACCCAGCACTCCTGGGTACACACCTGGGAAGAGTCAAGTTAGGGTTACAGAGACACTGGTGTTAACAGCAAGCTATGGTTACACATGCACATGCCAGGACACCCCATATTACACACAATTTACTGTTGCACAATAAAGGTTATGGAAAATTAGAAACACAAAGAATTAAGTTGTTACATGAAGTTGCAAAGCAAACCAGCAGAGCCCACAACATCAGGTAAAAGATGTACGAAAGACTACAGCAGTATTCCCCATACTGAACTTCTCTGCAGGAGGTATTTGTTTTAATTACAGCATATAAAACTTATGGCAACAGAGAAGAATTTATGTTTTGGGGAATGCTAATGCAGTGATCTGTTTTGGAGAGACCCAATGCTTTCACTTCACCACGCAACACTTGAATCCTGTGAGCACTCACAGAATGTGCCAGAAGGAGCCAGGACTGAGACTATCTAAGCCACTTAGAGGACCTGGACATCCATCCCCCTTATGTTGTAAATGGATGTTAAATTTCTAAATCCATCAGCCATTCTCAGCCTGCATCAGTAGGGATTAGCCACATAAAGGCTCCTTCCTCCCTGGCACACGCCACAGAGCAAAAGCAGCACTCACTTGTCACCAGGCAGGAAGAGGCTACCGAGCACCCCGTCCTTGTCCTCGCTCCGACAGACGTCCGAGGCCTCCGAGCTCTGAGCGCTCTCGATGGCACTGTCCATGTCAGACTCATGGTGAACCTCCTGCTGTGCCAGAGTCATCACGTCCTCATCAGGAAACAGCTCCGACTCGCTGTAGGCGCTTTCGCTGTCCAGGTAGGCACAGTCCTGGATATCACCACCCTGGCACAAGGAAAATCGGGAGTCAGTTCAGATCATCCCTCAAGGCAGTTCAGCCGACACAGAAGAAGCAGTAAGACACTTTCTGGATGCCCTGGTAAGCAAGAGTGATACTGAATAAAAGCCATGAAACAAAAAGCTGACCTGCTTTACAAAGCCAGTTCCTGCAAGCCAATAAAGTAGCCTGTACCTTCCAGAGGGGCTCAAGTTCTGTCTGACTTCCCAGGAGAGAAAGACACAACATCCAGCTATAAAATGCAGTCAGTTTTACCCTAATTCACTATCAAAATGTACTTGAAGCAATAAATATCCTCAAAGTTTTATAACAAAATTAGGCATCTTTTGAGAGATAATAGTACCTTAGTCATCAAGACTTGGTCCTCTAATTAATATTACAGATAAAACAAAAGCAAAACAGATAAGCCTAACAGTTTAGTCTGTCTTTGAGGATGGGCAAAAATTTGTAAGGTGAAAAAAGAATTGGCAGGTGTTAAATTGTTTAGGGTAAGTCTTGGTGATAATCAAAGATATATGAGAGCAGAAAAAAAACCCAAAATCATCTCTTCCTGCTTCCTGGAACCACATGTCTTGATTAAGTATGAACTAAAATAAGACATCATTCTCATTACTGCAAGTCTTTGCTCTTGCTGTTTGCCCTTTCCCTCCCCCTTCTGCCCCACAAATACTAAGAATAGCCAAGACAAGCTGGGTTGTATTTGCTTGTCCCTGAGGCACAAGTAAAAATTCTTAATTGGAAAAATAAAGGCTAAGATTTTACTCTATCCTTTAATAAGCAGCCACTCAATGCTGCTTTGACAATTTCCATCCAGCAGGATACAAATAACTCGGAGCTGCAGAGCAAGTCCTGACTCAGAGCTCTACTCCAAAGCTCATCTGGAAGCTCCACAGGCAGCCTGACCATTGAGCTACAACTACTAAGTGAAGCTTTTGGAGCTGAGTTCACTGGTAGAGGAAATGGAGCATTTCATTCAGGGATAAACCTCGTGTTAAGGCACAACTGTCATCCCACCCAGGAATCCCAAGGCACTGGCAGTATCACCAGCACTCCCTGCCCTGCTGGTGAGCACGTTTGCTGAGACACTCCTTGCCACAGCTCAGCTTCGAGTCCACCCCCACAGCCTCTGGACACTCTTCTGCTGGAGCCAAGGAAACTCAAACCCCCTTTTGCAGAACCAGAGATGTTCTGTGCTGATGACACAAACTGTCTTTTCCATGTCAGCAAGAAAAGAGCCAGGCAGAAGCTACAGTTTTTCATAATTTTCAGAAACTCCTATTGGAAATGCAGGTCTCACCAACCACCTTTTTCCTGAAATACCAATTTATATAACTGTGAAATCTCCTAACATATGGAGGCTGAAGAAATTCCAAACACCCCCCCTGCTCAAACCTCATTAACTAATGAATACCCCAGCAGGGAAAAGGACAGCACTGCCTGCTGTGTTTGAAATTCCAGGTACATAGGCAGAGCAGACACCTGGATGCTTTTCTACCTGAGCTTTCAGCAGACCTTCCAGATTAACAAGCAACGTCAGTGAGACACCTGGCACTATTCAAAAAGCCTTTTCCTGCTTTTCTGTGTCAGCTTTATTATGCCTGAAACTTTCCTGAGATACTGCTTCAAGAGATATCCCAAAGGATTTATCCTTGGTATATGCCATGTAGGATTTATTGTAGCCACGCTGCCTCATGCAATTAGATTTCTAGCTCTGAGCCACAGCCCTTCATCCCCAGTGAGCCCCTGGTTTGGCAGGTCACATACCAGCCCTGGAACCTGCCCTGCCTTAGCCCCGGGTCCTTCAGCACACCTGACTTGCCCCTTGTACCCTCCCAAAGCAAGAAGGAAAATGCCACTGCTGCTCTTGGGACCTAGAAATAGCACAAGCAGGAAGTCCTTTTTAGTAGGTGTTGAAAAAGTAAGTATGGCTAGGAGCAATTACAATGTTTCAAAAGTAGCCAGAAGTGTTTATTTATCTAATGTTTTCCCGAAGTTTCATCCCCCACACTGAGCCCCACAGGCACAGACCTCCTATTTTCTTAACAAGTTTAATGCAATAAAGCCTGACTGCCATTATGGAATTGCACCAGCTGGTAAAAGTCTGATCCAGGAGGGAAAGAGAGGGGTAAAGAGTACACAGTGGATCCTTGAAGCTCCCAATTAGCACATCTTTTTCAGAGGTCTTGGAGAAGTCTCTGCTTAAGCAAGTTTTTCCAGCAGGAAAATCTCCCTGGTATTAAACAAATTAACACAAGAAAGTAAAGGTCAAGAAGATCACGAAAGACTCCCTTTTTGCTCCCTGTAGGTAACACCACACATTAGCTTTTTCCAATAATAGCAGATGAGGTGCTCTTTCGAGAGTCCATTAGCAATTAAACGTGCAGTGTCATCTCTATGGGCTGAGGGCTCACTTCTCTCTGTCACTTTCTGGCAACCTTCACATTTACTTGTATGGGAGAGCTGATCCACACCTACAGCACGCACTTCGCTGTCCCCAGCCTGCTCAGTGCTAGGGATTCTCTTCCAAAGTGTAATTCCTCTATTCCTGCACTTCAAAGCCTCTTGGAAAGAAAAGAAAAAAAAGAAAAGAAAAAAAAAAAAGAAAAAAAAATAAAAAGAAAAAAGAGTTTTTGGAGGCGATGATCTATGATCCATCATAAGCCTCAACACCTGCTTTACAGCTTCTGAAATGCCTCACTGCAGGACTTGGAACCCCTCCTGGAAACACATCCTCCCTGCTGCTAATCCCATCCTCGAGCAGTGGGGAGCTCAGCGACTGATGGGGACTGGACAAATGGAGAACTCGGGCCAGCCAAGCTCCTTGGAGGAGCTCCCCATAGCTGCTCCCTCACAGAGGGAGAGCAGATGCCACATCCCAGGTTGCCAAGACCCCTCTTCACAAACCTGGCCTGACCCCACTGCCCGATGCAAACCCAGTGGATGTTTAGGAAGCACATCCCAGCCTCTCTCCTGAGCACCCAGCAGCAGAATCACACACTGAAGACCTCAGCCCTGTCAAAGCCATCAGCACCACCAATGACCGTGCCAGGAGCAGGAGAGCTGAGCTCCAGTAGCTGTCAGTTCACGCTTTGAAGTGCTCAAGGTCTGCCTCCAATCGGTGCTAACACAATTTCAGGTGACATACAGCAGCAGGACTGTGCTCCAGCCTGCCTGCTCCCTTTGGGTAGGGACTACACGCTCCAGTGCCGAGCTTGGAGAGCTTAGGGGTGTGGAATCCCTGATAATGGAATATTCCCAGCACATGGGGACCCCTCGTGCAGACTCTGTAAAGAATGGAACTCGGGTAACACCACTCGGGTGTCTCTTCAGCTCCCTGGGTGAAACCAGCCTCCAGTGCAACTCTCACAATGACAAATTTAATTAAAACTTCCTTTTGTGGCCTAAATAACCAGTAGGAGAACACAGACAAAGCATCTTTAAAACAACTAATACAGGTTAAGTAAGCTATTACAAGACAACAGAATCGGGGCATGTCACTGGCAAACAATATACAGGCATCCACACCTTACTGAGTAAAGCTGTAAGTTATTTGAAGCTGTAATTGTTCAGTGATGGTTGTTTTTCACAGAACTATACTTCCAATGATGACATCTAGCACAAGCTGCTTACAAACCACACCTAAAGAAATTAAACTGGAAAAAAAAAAGGTTGATTGCACACATTAGCCTCTCAAAATATTCCTTCATAGTTTAGATATCTACAGTATTTCATGATTTCATGTACCAAATTAGAGGTTGGCAAGAACAAGTGTTATTCAGGTAGCCTTAAGAGAGCTAACTTGAGATTAAGGGGAGTTTAAGAAGTTTAAAGACGAATAGACACTACTAGCCTGAGTCATTTGTTTCCAGTGCACATGTCATTAGCAGAAACCAGCAAGAGAATGAGGTTCTGACTACTTGAATATGAATCACTGGGGTTGTCATTCTCCTAGGCAGCTCCCTTCTTTGTTGGCTGAGTCAAAAGAGATAAAGCTGCTGCTTATGATCTTGGAAGATTCTCATAAAAAGAAAACCCAACCCTGAACGTTAAAATACCACCAACACAACATAGCTGCGGGTAGCTTTAAAGCCCTAAGTGGTTTGCACTTTTATCTAATCGGATGCTCAAGATAACTCCAAGTGCTTCACAGGCAGCCGGCCAGACGCTTGTATAGCAACTGTTGAATATTCAGCAACAGTTTGCTCTATAGAAGCACCTGCTGCCCACAGATCCAGGGCCACTTCACAGAAACTAATGAATTCCCTTCCTCGGAAGAGGCATTGTGTGGCTGCATTGAAGGCAGATGAGTAAGCCCAGCCTGCCTTTGCAACAGCCACCCCAAACAGAAGCAGGAGCCAGAAGACACCGATTCCCATGGATTCCTTCTGATCCTAGTGGGGCAGGAAAGCAGTGTCAGCATTAGGTGGGTATGGGAATAGAACTCTGCCTTGCCCTGCAGTGACCTGACTGGGATTTCCCAGGTTGGAAGCAATCTCCAAAATATGCATATAAAACAGCTGAAAGCTAGAAACTTGGCTGACAGACAGGCTACATGGCATGCCTACATCAATACATTCATGCTGAAGAACAAGCCTCGTTAAAATTCATTCCCATCACAGCCGAACCACCAGCACCCCTGACATTTAGACAGCCTCACAGTATGCCGGAGGAGACAGGGAAGAAAAGAGGACCCAAGTATCCCACCACTGTGCAATCTGATTAGTAAGAGCTGGACTCGCACACGACCAGAAACAAGAAATGGCACATGTAGATGAGCCATGGCTCTCCCCTCACCAGGATCATGCCTCTGACCCTGCTGACAAGCTGAATCTGCTGTGGGACAGATACGAGTCTGAGTCCCTGCACCTTCCCCAGCCACTTTTTTATCCAGCAAAAGCAAAGGAAAAATCACCTCACCACAACTGGAAGGGAGGAGGTGTGCCAGGCTCGGTCTCAGATGAAAGTTACTTACTGCTGCTCTTCATCA